TCGCCAACAGCAATCCAGCTTATCGTGCTTTCCCTCATTTGGTAGTGAGTCTGCAGCGGATGCCAGACTCGACAGCCCTCGTCAGGCCGGGACCCAAGTCCAGTCGGACATCGGTCTTCCAGGTTCACCAGGCCGCGGACCTGCTATTGGCGCGGAGACTGCCGCCGAGTCAGAACCTCAGCGTCATCTATCGCTCATCATGGTGCTGCTCATCTCCATGTTCTTCGTACGTTTGTCAATTCTGAGCACTTGACACCTGCTCATTGAGGTTGCATAATTGCATCGGGTTGTGTGAATGTCAAATCATCACCACTTAAATTAGCATCTGAGTAATTCTACGTGGATTAAGGTGACTTAAGAACTGATGGTGGAGTCTTTCAATGTGAACTGAAGCGGCACTAAGTCTGATGTGACTTCTATAGCATGCCAAGCCGATCTCAAATCACATTTATGGTAGGATTGTCAACGAGAGCGTATTACTTACATTCAGTGTGGTTATGTTTCAAAACTATTAGTAAATCACCCTGAATGGCCGAAGGTGACTGACTTTCTTGTTCACTTAGTAACGATTGTCTATAAAGCCCAGTTTCATCGAAAATTACTACTACCTACTCAGATATGATTCGTGTGACTAGGATGATGTGGCCTTTTATGTGGTTGCAGTCTCCTTTCGTTGTATAGAAAATGTTTGTCCTTGTTTTCGCAACTTGGTCATATAGTAGGAAAAATTCGAAGAACACACCTAGCTCGGAATCCATTGTGTGTATGATAATTTTCAGAGTCTACAACCTCATGGATGTAGTACATTCCTAGACGTTTCGCCAGCATAGTGGTCGGAATCATAAGTCAGCATTGCCACACACTACCACTAGTCAAAGGGACAATACTTCAGGGCTTTTCAAGGCCTTTCAAGCTCTTCCATACGAAAACGCGAGTGACCATTTGGGCCTGCGTCTGCTTTGATAGAAGTCTTTTACTATGCCGATTTTGCTATACTTTTGGTAAGACCAGATTTTACTTTGAAGCACTAGAATGGTGCGTTGTCATGACAAACTAGATTTAATCACTCTTATATTGTATTATATTGTATATCTGCATAACCTCTTCCAACTCATTTTCTCCTCCCTTCACTCCAACTCGCACCGAAACGCAATTACGAAGACACGCAACGCCAAGCACAGATTCGTTTGCACTCATTTTGCACATCTCATCGCCCATTAGCACAACGACACCGCCTCGACAGCACATTCTTCACTCTTGTCCCCCTTACCCACTTCCCACTCCTGCTTTCACTCGCTCATTGTGCATTCTGCAGGGCATCTGCTTGTGCACCTGGCGCCTTGTTCGCGATGGTATTTCGGGCGTCTACATTGCACTCGAGTTCCTCGACGCCATTCTCAACTTCGGACAAGGCTTTATCCTCTTCGCTTGCTTTGGTCTCGACACCGACCTCATCCTGTTGCCCTGCCGGAAGGCGTATGCTTTTGCTCTTAATCCATCCTCTTCTCTATTTCCACTTTGAACCGGGCCTTGGCGTTGTCTGCAACTGGGCATGCAGAAGTGTTCGTTCGTTGGGGACGATGCGTCCATAGCTGCGTCAGAGATTAACTGGGCCTGTGAAGACGGCACAACAACGTGTTTACACTTCCGGGCCAGACAGAGAACGGCCTCTTGGGTACTGCTGAACCCGCACTGATGTCACTCTTATCGGTATTCGTCGAAAACGGGCAATCTTCGGCGTTTCACACTTTTCTTCCTTCATGGCACGTGTGTTAAGAAAAGTTGGGTCTCAAAGAATCTCTTGCTTTAGAATTGGTGAAAATATTCGAAGGTCGATCCGACCAGAAGACGACGGCGGATTCGCTTGATCAGAAAGCACAGCAACACAGACAGACACAACTTGAACTAATTAATCACTTTATATCTCACCAAAGGGCTTAGATTTAGGGCAGATATAGCATTTAAGGATGAACAGATGAGGCTTCTCGACCCGTCAGCTTTAATATGATTGTAAGGATGATACTAATGATGTTCTGATGATGTCCGTCATACAATGGACGAAAGATTAGCATATGAAGACCAAGATGTTGTGGTCTCTGGTATGGTCACAGTCTACTTTCGATGTATAGAAATGGGG